CATTTTTTTTAAGGATCATACTACATGTACCGAATTTTTTTACCGAATCTTTTACCTACTACTCACAATTGGAGTGGGAACCACATTGTTGGAATTTTTAAATACACGCAGGCCTCGCGCATTATGTGAGAGGGGGTAATCCACTATGTACAAATCGTTATGTACAAATGGATTAACCCTTTTTTTAATCCATAACATGGCTCTTTCTCTGAATCTACAGAGAAAGAGCATTTAGTTGCAAAGCTTATCCAAGAGAGGGTGCACATGTGCACAGGATCAAATAATTTCATGGTGCAAACCCGGAAAACATTGAGAGAAAAATAAACGGGTGTCATTTCAACTGAACTTTATAGATCATGTGCACAGCACATGATGGTTAACAGCCAAATTGATGGAGTCAATCCATGGAGGACCAACGGTGCTACAAAACCAAAAGGTTGACAATGTTTCTATCAAATACAATAGGCTGGGGACCAATGGCAATTTTACATTAATATTTTTATAAAAGTAAGAAATTCTTAGTACCTAATACATTCCAGGCAGCAGCAAGCTGTCCGATCACGGATAACAACGAGATAGAAAGACAGTTCAAGATAGCATGTAATAGCAGAATTCCACCATGAAATGCAATAACTACATATTTCGAGGCTTCGTATCCACCTCCAGTCTTTCCGCCTGTGCTAAGTAGAATTATCACCTGAATCAATTGTGCTAGTGAAAAATCTACACTTGTTGTAACAGCCCACTGCAGAAGAAATTTTCTATGAAGTGATTAGTTTTTAATTGAGTGGCATCATAGAAAGAAGAATGTTAGTGAAGAACATTAAAAAACAGGGTGTTTAGAAGTACCTGGCCAACAATATTAAACCTGCAAGCAAATAAATAGAAATAAAATTCACTCAGTGTCAGCTATTGAGAAAAGAAATTGCAGCCTATAGAACAGGTTTGATTGGCGTTGAACTGGTTAAGTGTAGGCGATATTGAATTCTAAATCAAAAATTAAAAGTGTTGCACATCAAACAGGCAGCATAAGATAGCGGAGCAGTTGACTGTGCAATAGCATATTTCAAATTTTAAGGCTCATAACATTTAGAGAAAGAAACATATACAATTATGGATTTTACGGGGGTATCTCGAAATGCGAGGAGAGTTGTTTATGGTACCAAAGTAGGACATAACAACAATCTATCGAATCATGATATAAGTCAATGTTAAGAATCTCTAACTTGAGCATTATATTAATGATTTTCTTTGGTAGGAAACTACTCATTAGAAAAGACACCATCTTTTTGTTCTGTGCGAATGACTTCAAAGATGCATAATCTTGAAAGAGTGTATTTGGAGGGATTAGATAGAACAACTTTTTGCAAAAGATATTCCCAAATACGTGTTGAGTACTACAACACACCCAAGCAAAAGTGCCATTTTGTACAATTTATAGGAATATATATATTTAGTCCTAATTAAAAATAAATAAATTACGACAATAATCATTACATTAGAAGAATTTCTTTCAGGTTGTTCTCCCACCAAGGATGCGATGGTGACGGGCATAAACATACACTTCTGAGTTGGATAGAAATTAAAGCAAGCTTGAGCAACACCGTCGTGTAGAACTTCTAAATTGGTGAACTGTTAAATCTCGGACTGTTATTGCAAGCACATTTCTTTTGCACTCCATTTTTTGTCGCTAAGTTTCCGTTTTACATTAAACATTTAGCACACTAATTGCCTGTGGATTTTGACACCAAAACTAAAGTACTAAATTTACCATCCAGTGATCCATGAGGCAAAGGGTGCCCAGCCTGGACCCGCAAGCTTCGCGCTCCAATAATAGAGTCCCCCAGAAGTAGGATACGAAGAGCATATTTCAGCCATGGACAGACCAACAAACATGGTGAAACATCCCGTAATAAGCCATCCATAGACCACGGAAACCGGCCCACCAAAAGTCAATCCCGTATTGTACAGTGTAGTCACACCGGTGAGCACTGATATTATCGAAAATGAAAAGGCAAAGTTCGATAACACCCTGCCATTTTGACCGAAAGCTCATCAAAACTAATTAACTAACCAAAAAATGTGGCGAAAATTGTGGGGATTTAGATGAAATATTTACGAGAGATCACGCTTGAGTTCTTGTTTGTAGCCCAGCTCGTGTAATCGTGCATGGCCCGAATCAACAGAGTTATGGACTTCTTCTTGAACATGTGAGGGAAGAACGCTCTCGTTCTTTCCTCCTTCGAGCACCATCTTCTCTTCTTGTGCGTACGTACGAGAGGGAGAGGGAGAGAGAGGCGGATGATGAAATGAATCGCACACCAGCAAACCTCTCCTTCCTCTCCAAATGAATAGTGAGCTGTGAATATACCCTGTATATCTTGATGGAATCACAAAAAATTGCGTTGATTGATTCCGGCATATGAATGGTCAAAGAAATCCATCAAAATCGCCCGAAATGTGATTTATAAGCAATGATTTGGGCATAATTGGGCCCCATTTTGAAATGTCTTAACATACTTTCGCAAAATAAATGTTTTTAGAAAATTATATTTATCCTCACACAGATAATTAAACATCGATAATGGTGGTTATTAATTATTCCTCACATTTCTCTCTCTCCTCCTCTCGCTCATAAAAATTGAATTGTCAAATCTTATTATTTTACATAAATGTCACATCATCGATATTCTATCATTATAATGATAAATACCATTATTCAATATTTTTTTATCTTTAAATCATTTATAAATTTACCAAACAGAAGCCTAACTAATTTTCTGAAAAATGCTATTCATCCCCATTCTATGTGGATGTAAATGATTGGTTAAATGATAAGTAAAATTAAATGACTTATTTAATTTCACCCATCATTTAACGCCACATAGAGTGGGGATGAATAACATTTCTCTAATTTTCCACCAATATAGGTTGACTCACTGCGTATCATCAAACTAAACGATGAACCAAAACATAGTTTCTTGGAATTAAAAAAATATTTACATGAATGTTGACCATAGCGCTGTGACGTTCAAGTTAGATGTGAACGTTGAAAAGGAGGGACAGCAAAGTAATAACAAGAAAGGAGGTCATGTCTCTAGTGAAATTTGAAAGTTTAGCCTGCCAATCCCCTTGTCCCACGGTATTTAAGAAACAATGAGAGGAGATCGTGGCATTGGTGCACGTCATGAATTTCTCATTCCGGTCACTTTTCTTGACTGTCCTAGGCTAGAATGGAATCTTGCTACATGGTGTGTTGTCCTCATTGAATGTGAAGCAAAAGTCAAAAGACGATTCTTTCTAGTGAAAACGCTTGTCGTTTGTCACCACCTTCCTAGCAAGATCGTTTCGACTATACTGGAAGCATTATATAGGGTGGAGGAAATTAGGTTATTCTCATGGAGGCAAGGTCGTCCCAATAACATGTTATAATATGTCATTTCTTCGATCAACAAGTCCGACCTTCTGATGCCAACAGCCCTTTGCCTCCCTTTCCTATTTAATCAAAAGAGATCTCCCACCTACAAGCCCTAATGTCGGATGATAATCATTATGTATCGGTCATATGGTCAATTGATTTGTGTGGATGCCTGCCCTAAACTTCTTACGTACGGAGTCGAGTATGATCTCCATACAACTAAACGGTTAGGAATTTTTTTTTTTTTTATCTTTTCCTTTGAATGCGAAGGATACATCAATGTGAATGGAAGAACCTATCCTTTTCGAATTGGAGAAATCAATGTGGTTTTCTGTTTGGTCTCCATTATTTTACATTAAATTATAATTTATTTTTTTCATTCTTCTTCTCAATCACATATTCTCTAACAAAATAATATTACACGTAACCCAAAATTTTTTCCTTCTTTTTTAATTACACATTCTCCAAAAAAAATATTATTTCTCTCATTATAATGTGGAATAATGACACCAAAATTATTATTTTTTTAAATATTTGACTTTATGTAAATGTTTGATGTGAAATCGGTGTCTTTTCAAGTCTAAAATCAAAAAGGAAGAAGTGTGATGTGTGTACATAAAATAATTCCTCAGAAACTGGCCAGAATACACACACAGCAAGGTGGGTAGTGTTTTTTTTTTTTTCCAATATTTTATACATATGGTGCCCACCCCCATGTGAGTTTCGGACAGAATTCTGTATAACTATTTTCTATACAAATGGTTTTCTCCATCAAAAAGAAGCATAAACTAGAGAATAGACCTAAAAGGATAAAAAATACGAGAGGATATCTATGAAACTTTTCAACCATATATGCATTATCTCAAATTAGCTTCACCTCTAGATAATTTTGTCCTACGTCGAGCAAGTTAAAAGAGGTATAATATAATAGAAAAGAATTCAATAGCCAGGTGTAGTAATGAAGGAAGAAGAGTGACAAAAACTTTTATATAGTCAAACACTGAAATTTTTTATAAAAGTCAAATAAGTTATCAGAGTACAAGTTTGTTATGATTTTGAAAATTCGGTACCAATTTTGCAATTATATTAGTCAAAGTAGTTGACCGAAATAATTTTAAAATTTATTTTTAAAATCCAAAAATAATTGAATGGTGGTTTTGCACTAGATCGATTTCGGTTGCAACTTGTCTAAAATGAACCAAATAAATTGAAATTACTTCATTTGAAAGAAAGGTAAATAATGAGCACGTTGGAATTAATATATAATATGCCGAGGGCTCTACAAAATAGTACTATTCAACTTTACAAGACCACGTGTACAGTACGTGAGATCCAGCATTATTCTAATCAGAATATGGGTACTTAATTTCTGATAGTGATTGGGGGAAGTCATTTTCCTTCAAGTTGCAACCAACGAATGGGAAGCAATTAATACCGACGCAGTGACGTCCCAAATAAATATATCTTCAACCATGAAAGTAATTAGGAAAAAACTGTGCGTACAGAAAAAAATTACACGATTTCAAACAGGAATTCAAATTTCACTCACATGGGATGTGCCCCATGTGAATAAAAATATTGGCAAAAAAACCTCACCCACCCCTGCTGTATGTGTTCTGGCAGGTACATGAATTTGAATTCTTGTACATATAACATGTCTCAAATAATTATCCCTATCAACACTTCAGAGACTCATCATTTGTAAGGAGCATTTGAATTGAACCGGATCAGAAGTAATTAGTAACTAAAATCGAGAATCGATCAAATATTTGATCAGTTATTGATTCTTGAATCAAAACTATGAGTACTCGACTTTGAAATCGCATTTGTTATTTTTAGGTTTTATTTTCCTTTTTACAATTTATTAACGTGACCCAATGACTCAATGGGATTCAAAGGAAAAGATTGAATGAAGAGAAAAGTCGACAATGTTGATTGTTTTGTTATGTTTTTCAAGGGATCATTTTTTTTTTTAAATATAGTGTTTGGTAATTCTTGGGGTCTAAAATATAGTATGGCTAATTATATTCTCACGACGTTATTAATTTGTTACACCACAATTTAATTTCATTTAAAGTCTTCCAACATTTGCTTACTATAACTCTTATGTCCTTAACTTTATTTTTTATGTATTTTTCTTTTCAACATTTTATTAATTAACACATATCATATCTTATAATGATTTCTATCAAATAAGTCTGTTCGGAGGCATAAAATAAATAATTTTTCAATCACATTTTCTAAAAAAAATAATAAATACAAAAGTGTGACAAAATATTTTTTTTTCTCATTTAAAGCACACAGGGAAAAAAAAATATTTTAACTGAAACCATCATCAAAGATAAAATTTGCTAGCAAAGAAAGATAACTTTAAGTGAAATTAAAGTAACTGCGGTGTGAATATAATTATCCATTTGGTATTTAGAACATGTTTGGTCAAGCTTAAAATCCAATTAAAATTAAAAATATAGTTGTTATTGAATTTCACTCGTATAATAAAAGTTAATAATAACGACTAATTTTTTATTTTTAATTCGATTTTAATTTCTATTAAACACGCCCTTATGCTTTGCTAGATATTTGTATGCTATTTGGTGACATATTTTGCTAAATATTTGGAGGATAGTTTGTATTGTCAACTCGTGATTATATTATAGGTAAAACCAAATAATTTATTTATTTTTGAAGAAAAGGAATTAATGGAATCGAATCTCATCAATTTCAGTCAACCAATTTCCAAATCTTACAAGCAGTCCGTCACATGATTGGAGACATGTGAATCAACTTGTTTGATTGGGTAAACGAGGCTTTTATTCAAAGATCCAATTTATTACTATTTCCAATCCGGTGACAATTCACACCTATGGGACCAATCACACAGACGACGACAGATCGATTGAATTGAAAGAAATTGAAGACCAGCCAAACCCCAAGTCTACATTTAGCCCTTATTTATTTTTATTTTTTTCACATTATAAGTTGAAAGATCTCATAAAGGCCCCATTGGGGCGGGATTAAAAGCCAATTAAAATTGAAAATATGGTCGTTATTGGATCTCACTAGTCTAATAAAAGTCAACAATAACGGCTATATTTTCAATTTTAATCCCTCCCATACAAGGCCAAAGTGTATGATTAAAAAGTGAATAAAACCGACACTATTAATTAACAATAATCTTAGAGAAAAAAATTTGTCGACAAGGTTTTGATTTGCTATATACAATAAGGGAGGTAAAACCAACGCGACTAATTAACAATCGAGAATTTCAATTGAAAGTAAATTCCAAAATGATTAATTCACATATAAGAACTTCAATAACTTACTCTTTCTAACAATATACTATATTGAAAATGAAAATTTCATAAAAATGTATGTTGATTGTCTATTTAGAGCATGTCTGAGCCCTATTTCTGGTCAAAATGCATTTTGAAATAGTGATTTGACGGAGAATGTGTGATTAAAAAATAAGAAAATTTTTTAAATTTACATGTAATATTATTTTATTGAAAAATATGTTATTAAAAATAACCAAACTAGGGCTTAATTACAAATTTTCGAATGCACTAGCTTTTCATCACCCAATAATATTTCCAACTTGAGGAAATTTACATTTTTAACCCTCCTTTTTATAGTCAACGTTAATTGGATGCACAATAGGTAGAGTGGGTTTCCGTCCTTTTAACAAATATTATTTTGTCATTGGGAAACCAAGTCTAAAGTTGGTTGTTGGGAATCGTCGAGCTAGTATGTATAATGTGTTAGATGATATTGGCTCGAGGTTCCACAAACCTACCACTTAGGATGTTGGACTCTCTAAAATCACAACCTTCTCGTA